ATCCATTTTGTCAGTTTTTGGCTTTAGTTTTGGGAAACATTCAGTTGATAAGTTGTTTTTTGTTTTTTCCGCAATTATAATGTTGTGTGACTTTAGTACCTTTCAAATTTTTCTATTCATTTGTGGAATATATGGTAGTGATATATATGTATTGTTTCTTTGTTCCTCATTATTGTTATATTTAGTTGAGTTGTAAAACTTGTTAATTCTTCGCTTTATTATTGGTTCAGAAATTTTGTTTGGGTTGTTATTATTAAGTAATATTCTTCTGATTTTTTAAAAATTTTCTTGCCTGTAATTTGGGTGTGATAATTTTATAGCTCTATCTATAAGTGCAGTTATTACGCCTTTTTATATTTTTGGGGTGCATATGAATTATAGTTAAAATACCTTCCTGACCAAACTTCTTTTGTATACCAATTTGTTTTTATTTCACCTGAATTATCATAATTTACTCTTATGTCTAAAAAATGTATTGATTGATTTTTATCCTTTTCTATTGTAAATCAACAATTTTCACGACACTACAAAATTTAATAATCAAGTTTTCCGATGTTTTGCTCTCCCAAAAGGAAGAATTTTTTCCCTCAAAAACTGATGAATGTTTAAACACTTCGTAAATTATAAATTTTATACAACATGTTTTAATTGTGAATTGGTGTTTGTAGTTTGTGTAAAATTTTAAATCTGATGATGGCGCTGTTGTCTCGGCGAAACGTAATGAAATAAACGATGTTTCAAAATTTTTACTTCACACTTTGACTGAAACCCAGAAAAGATAGGAATATTATAATTGTTTGCTATGAAAAAATTGCACAACAAAATTTCTTGGAATTCTCGCGAAAACTCCTCATGTTTACCCAATTTTTGATCTGGAGATGTAGTGGAGACTTTCAGCCCCACAAAAAGAAATCGAAGGAAATTAGGTCGGAGTGTCTGGCAGGCTCTCCTATGGGTTCGCTTCGTTCGCTGATTCGTTTGTTTGGAAAAATTATATTTAAATATTTTCGAACAGATTGTGACTGGTGTGGCAGTGCATCGTTTTACTGAAACCATTAATGATTGTTAAAATAAAATAATATGGAAAATACCGTTTTTTAAAGACAATTATAAAAACAGAAAAAAACATTTGTTTCTAATAGTATTATGTAATCTACGAAAAATTCTCTATGTCGAAAAAGAAAAACTAACGGAACTGGCAACAAATTCAATCGGTATAAAATAATAATTAATATCCTAATCTTATCAGCTTAGCAACGAATTGTATTGCTTTGTTATATATGCACGCCATTGTTTCCATTCCTTATGTTCACATCCTGTATCGCGTAAGCCCTTAAAATATTTTGATAAATATTTGGGTGTGATTTTTTAGAGTACTGAAATATATGGTTTATTGCACGTAAGTGATTAAAATACTTTATATTTAATACATTTATTACCATCTAAACATATTTGCGCATTTGTGCTCCCCTAGGATCTAGAAAGTTCGCTACTATTCTTACACTTTGTCCTCTTCTGAAGGCGGATTCATCAACATCTCCATTTCTTCTGCAATTGAAGCGCTTCTGCGAATTCTGTATTCAGTTGGAGTGAGCAGACCTCGCAAGATGGTGTCATATGAGACATTTATCCCTAAATTTAAATCATTCATCCGCTTCCAACTTGTTCATTTTTAATCAACAATTTACAATACCTTTTTCACTCATTTTGCAGTACATTTCCCAGCATTGTTTTTCCTTCGGCGTTTCGCATGTTGACTCCGTTTTTGGTGCGGTTTCTTCAACGCTCAAACTACATTTCTAAAAATTTGTTTCGTCGTCTAACTAATTTCAACTCAATGTATGCGATTGTTTCACCTTTTCAGGAGGCGTTATCAATATGACATTCGGTTCCAAGCCGAGATTTGTGGTTGACTCTTCATCAGTTTCACTAGTTTTTGTTTGGATATCTATAGTGAATGTTGAGTTTACTTCTTCGACATCTTCAGTTTTAATTATCTGACCTAAATGAGAGGCTGCTTTCTGCCACGATGAGCTAAAAACGTGGTTTAAGTCATATATTACAATGATCTTATAAAGAATAACAGCAAGCAAAGTAAACTATGCAAATCTTTGTAGTGAAAACTCGGATCTACATATCACTGTATCCTGGCTGCGTACTTTCTGGTTCGTTAAGACTGAGTCTGTTAATATTTGTTCTTTTAATTGCTGCAATTCACATTTCTCATATTTTTTAAAAATGAAAATTTGAATTTTTATTGAACGCGAAATAAACTTTGGAAATTTCTACGTCTTCAGTTTAATACACATTAAGTCTTCAGTTTAAGCACATTATTTAGCGGAAGCTCAAGTTCTAATAAAACTCGTATATGCAAAAATTAACGCAACATCTTTGATACATCCGTGGATTGATAAAAGTACCAAAGTACCAAAAGATTAAAAAAAGTTCTCCGAAAGGTTCATTAACAGGTTTAGTACTAAAGACAATTATTTTAATGCGCTATTACGCTGCTTTGCAATCTATTCTGTTTTTCCTGTATTCACTCTTCGAAAGCTCAATTATGTATCATTCATTATTCTTATTATTCTAAGCATTTTGTACCGCAAATTGCGTTCTATAAGTGGAAAACGTTTCGATTTGAAGTCATCTTCAGTTAATTCTCAAGAAACTTTCAAACTTACGCTGGGATTTTACTGTTATTTATGCAGGTCGGAGTCTGAAACTAGAGAGTTTTTTTCTGCATTCTGTAGGGAAAAGCCTGTTCTAAACGTGGAAGATATTGCATTTTCAGTTATTATTGCGTTAAAATTGCGTCTGATTTTCGTCAGGGCGTTTTGCAGACCCGAGATTAGCATTTATTTCCTTCGTAAGTAGCCATGTGAGAAAATCTATTTTGGGTGCAGTCTATAGGGTAAAATCCCTTATATTATTGAAGAAAGTTGCAAATTTCAGTGATTATCGGGAAATTTTTGACAATTTTGGAAACTTGCCGTTGGTTTACGAAGTTGTTTTTGCAGGCCCGATTTTCGTGTTTATTTATTCAGGAACCAACCAAGTGAAAGTGTCGCTTTTGTAGGAATTTTGCAAGTCCAAATATTTTCTGCAAGACCCAAAAGTTTCGCTTTTCATCCATCATCAGGCAATTTTCAAGAATTTTTCAAAGTTGCATGGAGTTTTCGCGAATATTTAAACTGGTAGTATTTGGACATTTATTTTCTCAGAACGTTCCAAAGCTAGAGAGTTATTTTTGTATCAATTTTGTAGGACAAAGTGTGTTCTATGCGTGCAAAACGTTTGGATTTTCAGTCATCATCACGCAATTTTCAACAATTTTTCAAATTTGAATATGTTTATTTATTTATTCAGGAACTAACGAAGTGAGAGAGTTGTTTTCGTATGTGATTTGTCGACCAAAGTCTGTTCTACAAGAGTCAAACGTTTCGATTTTCAGTCGTAATCAGGAAATTTTTAAGAATTTTTCAGTCATTCGATTTTTGCGGATTTTAAAACATTGTAGTAAACATTTGTAGGGCTAAGTGTGCTGCATTTGAAAAAAACGTTTCAGTTTAGGTAAATCATATTCAGGGAATTTTCGGGAACGAGTTTTGAGAGTTTTTGAGATTTTGTTTTTACTTTGCGTAAGTTCACAGTTATATTTTCGGAAACGAGTTAAGTTGAAGAGTAGCGTTTGTATGGATTTTGTTGGACATAGACATCATCGGTTTATTGTCAAAATTTTTGAATACATTTTTTTGTTAATTATATTTTTGTAAACTAGTATGAAGGTGAAGATGAAGTCCCTTGTGCAGAAAGTTCCAATTTTCACTCCTCATCAAGCAAGTTTTAACAGTTTGGAAAATGCCGTTTGGTTGACGAAGTTAGTTTTACAGGTCGGAGTTTCGTACTTGCTTATTCACAAAGTAAGGAACTGAGAGAGTCGCTTTTGCATATGTTTTGTGGGTCAAAGTTTGTTCTAGCAAGTATGAAAAGCTTACGATTTTCAGTCATAATCTGGCAATTTTCAAGAATTTTCCGCAATTGAATGGGTTTTCGCGGATATTTAAGCAGGTTCTAGTTTCACATTTATTGGTCCAGGAGCTTGCACAGTTAGAGAGTCACTTTTGTATATGTATATTTTGTAGGGTAACGTGTTCTATAAGTGGAAAAGGTTTTGATTTTGAATCATTTCCAGGGAATTTTGATGAATTTTTGAGAATTTTGTTTGCATTTTGCGCTTGTAAATGCAAGCTGTAGTTTCCAAGTTATTTCCAATATATGTTCAATATTTCATTTTATAAGAGGCGAAAGTTCCTAGTTTTAGGCTATTTCAATTTTTTTTATTATGGGAATATAATTTTGTGCCTGTTTAAACCAGTGACGTTCAGTTAAACACTCAAAGAAAAATTTGTTGCAGAAATACTTATTCTGTTACGAGAATTTTATAAAATTTATTACGAAAAAACAAGCTTTGGCAATACCGTTATTGAAACAAAGAGGAATATGCCTGATAAAATTAGTTTAATTGATTTATAGTCACCGACTTCGGGACAACCATAATTTAGTTCAACTTTAATTTTTCATTCATCTTTGTACCTATATGGCGCGGTTTAAAAATGTAACATTAACATAGTAAATTTCAAAATTGTTTTTTGCTTTCATTTTTGAAATGTCTCATAAATCTAAAACATCCGCTTGGTTAAATTTAATTTGAAAATATGTCTTTCACAAGGAGGACTGGGATTATGACGTGTGTAATTTTCTACAACCTTAAAAAATGAGAAAAGATAATAAAAAAATACTTTTTAAACACCTGGTATATCGAAACAGAAGCAATCAAGGCGAAATTAAAGAAATAAACGACAAGGAGTAAATTGGTTTTCAAACTAGTCAAAAAAAACTAGTTTAAACAACTTTTACTTACACAGTAAGGTTGTTTCTGTTTTTTAGTTGTCATCTAGTAGCTCGGTAAGATAGTTTGGTTGTATTAGTTCGTAGAAAAATAAGGGTAACTACTGGACTTTAGCTATTTGATATAGTTTTTTAATCATGGCATGATTTCTATCAGTGTTTAAATTTTTAGTAGTAGCGACACTTCCTTGACAAAGACTAAGTAACTGTAGCTAAGTTTCTTTTTTTAACCAATTTTGATTCATATTAAGCCAAATGCGACTTGTTTTTATTTCTAATTATCAGCAACTTGCCTGTTCTTCTTTTCCACTGTGTTGTTTCTCAATAGTCTTCGTTTCGGCACCCGTTCGTCTGCATCTGGCGAATCGGGGTTCGTACTTCTTTTTTCTTGCGTTTTGGCGCTGTTTGCTTTCAACTTGGATGGGTTGGCATGATTTCCCAAAGAAAGTGCCGTTGCCATTGAACTTCTACGGGCCGGGAAACTGGCAGAGAAACTTCTTACCGCGTGAATACTCGACTGCTGAAAGGAAACTGTGGAACATAACATTATTATCTTGCAGGCCAATTTATTATTCACTGTGGGGTTTCTACCTTTCCCAACGGCAATAGGTGGCCAACTAACTAAACTATGCGCCAGTTTGAAATTAGTTCAATGTATACGCGAAATCTGGGACACTTTGTAGGTCAGATTAGGGCCTTTTCGTTAGCAATATTATAAATGAATTCTTTATGAAGCCGACCGACAGCACACTAAAATGGGCTGGATTTCAAATTTTAGGGGTCGATATGGGACCGATAGGGTGAGGTCGCGAGTCTCTACCAGTTCGTGATCTCAATAGAGCCATTTATTGACAGTATTGTCATAATATGGGTGCTCTTTGTTCTGCAGGCAATTTTTTTAATAGATAAGTTCTATATTGTTGAGGCGGATTCATTTTTTTACAAACTTCTTGTTGGGTATTTCGCCTCAAAAATTTTTGTCTTTAAAAGACAGAATTTCCTCACGTCTTCTATTACAAATTGATAAATAGTCCTCCTATTTCGCAATAAGAACGAATTATTTATCAAAAAGTAATCAAGAACTATCACCTAGAGGGTATCCTGCGACACACTTAGGCTCAAG